AATTTGCAGCCATAAATTTGTAAAATTGTGCATCTCCTGAAAGGAAACATAGAGAGAAAGCCCTATTGTACAGTATCATCATCCTGGTTTTGTTGGCAATTGTGCAGTTTACAACTTACTTTTATCTTTTCTTTGTTAATAGTTCTAAAGAGTATGCTATGAGTAATATGTAAAGTAGAATTTTAAAACAAATATGGTTATGAAAAATGAATGTGGAAAAGAATTAACTATGACATAATAAACCACATTTTATCACTCAGTCATATTTTTTTAAAGATGTTTTTATTTCTTTTTTTTTTTTTTTTTTGTGCTTTTATACCTGAGTAATCTCAGAAAAAGGGCCACTTATTTAATGTCATCAGAATATCTTCTATCACAAAAAGCGTGATTTTTAGCGAACAAATAATGTGGAATCATATTGTTCGCTAGGAACAAATGTTTTGAAGTCACCTTTACCCAAGGATTTATCACAAACAATAAAATATTGATATAATGAACAGTATTCAAGCTCGAAGTCCATTAAATAAAAACAAAACAAATTGGGAGCAGAGCAAACGGGGACCTCCAAAACCATCCACGGTTGGATCAGGTGCCATGGAGGAGTGAGTATTCCCGGCCGACCGGTCACACCCGCCGTGTGCTCCTTGTCACGATCAGGAAAACATTTCAGTGTAGACATTCCAGTGTTTAAATAATGGCCTAACAATTAGTATGAAAAAATGTCAGTCAACATTTGACTTATTGATAGGTTGATTTGCTGACAAATTGTATCGACCATAAAACTTGCAAAAAATGATGACTTCAAACGAGACTGTTGATATCCCTGTTTCATAAAGTTGTTTGTAAATAGCTGGCCTCGTTTAAAAATTGTTCATACGTAGAGCATGTTCTTGCGTATCTAATCAACTTGGAGACAGCAACCTATGCAAGGATAAGTTACAACTCTTCAACAACCCACCCACCCCCAATTACCTGTATGTAACTGATGTGTTAAAGAGCATTAATTATATTCGGGTAATTGGGGATTGGGTGGGTGTGCAGAGGTCCAAAAGTTGACCTTTTATTAGGTTCCGATATTGTTATACTCGTTACAGGGAAGAATGCAATCGAAGATCAAAATGAGTAAAGGTAGACAATCTGCTGATAAAATATAAAAATATTTTATTTATGTTTGATGATATCAATATATCAGTTTCAAATGTGTTTCTATAAATGTAAAAATAATTGCAGAACCCCTCCCCCAAGACAGCAGGAGTTTGATAATTGATGCCTGGAAGCTTTAAGAGTTGACACATCAAACATATCTTTATCTGAATAGATCCATGTCTTTGTAATATCTGAAAATTTCTTGTAAATAAATAATTAAAACATAATGATTAAAATCTTCTTTCAAAATTGTATTTACTTTTTGGCATTTTCAAACCTATTCTAGATAAAACACGATAATCGGTATTCGTGCAAGTAAGTTGAAAGAAAATGTGTACGTACTTACATGTAAAATGTTCATTTTACAGGGATGTTATCTTCACTTTGTCAACCTGGGGTGTCTTTCTTTTCAGATTTGTTTACTAATCAATTTACTTTATATTTGTATATGTATCCTTGAAAATTTTTAATTCGTTTATTCTATTTTCATTTTCTTACATTTATCGGTCTCATTAAAAATGATTATTGATTAAGTATCAGAGTCAACGACTATTTGACACTTAGGGCAGAGGGGGGGGGGGGGGCTGCTGATGATAAAAATATGAAATGACGCTTCTGTGTAAAAGGATATTATATTCCCAAGTAAGAAGACTGTAAAATTCACAAGGTGAACGCAAAACATTGAATACCAGAAATCAAATAAAAAGGGATTGCTAATTGGGTTACTGAAATGAGGGAGCAATGACATCCATATACCCGTATATAGAATCTCTAAAAAAAAAAATATGCAATTGAACCCTGGTGAAATATGCCTACGTGACTAATCAATACTTAAAATGTCTGTTAAGTTCAATGAATCTTATGCTAAGCCAATAGGCAGCCACGAGTTTGCTACACCCACAGCCACTAACCAGCAAAACCGCCAAATCCCTTCTGTTCCTGACCTTCTTTTTTTAATGACATGGTGACGAGGTTTATACCACCTTATCCATTCAGAAGTATCCAGAAAGCTATCGAAAACACTTCAATGAAAACATAAATTCATAACGACTAACATATTCTGGGGAGTGTAGAAATCACGCTGATATGTAAACCTTAAATGATGGGTTTCCAAGTGTCTATTTTTAGTTAGCCTTATTTCACTCACTCCTGTAACCTACTTGATATGTAAAAGTTATACATGCATGACTCTTTTCTTTTTTAAATACACCGGAAATTACAACCTTTTAAAATCACTTTGCTAGAAATAACTAAAAATGCAAAAAAGTGCAGGTGAAAGGTATATCAAAATATGCATGCTTCTTTTTAAACAATCCGGAAATAGCATCCTTTCAATAGCATACTTAGCAGACTTTGTTGGAAATAATTAAAAATGCCAAAATCAACGTTTTGCAATTCAATTTCAGAATGAATCCTGTTTATTTACAGATATACCAAATGAATGGATTATAATGTATTTGCAAAAGCAGGAAAAATACAACTGAGAAAACCCATTCAAAATTTGATCAAGCATCCATGATAACACGGAAGTAGGAAAGACTACAAAGAATATAAATTTAGTTAAACACAGTCTGAACCTTACAACACATATCATATACATCGTGTATGATAATGCTGGAATGTTTTTCAAAAATATATTTTGTTTATTGGTTTCCACATCCAGCGCCTTTAAAGTGAACCTGAACAATGGGTAAATCATATACATGATTGTTTACTACTTTAAAGGATGAAAAATTAAAGAATATTTATCAATTTATTATATCTATTTGTAAAAATAACTCGAAACTTTTTTCCATGAACTTTCTCCAGTTATAACTTTTTAGTGAAAATTTTAGAGAATGTACCTTTAATTTTGAATGGGATCACACACTAAGAAAATGTGTAAGTAAGTAAATTTATATTTTCCCAAATATCATTATTAGAAAAGTTTGACAAATTTTCAATTCATGCTAGCGTCAATTGAGTGATATAATATATTATGTAAATCTACAGCTTGCAAAGACGGTTTTTATGGGATAAATTGCGAAAGTCCCTGTCCAAGCGGATTGCATGGTGTTAAATGTCACCTTAAATGCACCTGTAAAATAGCGGACTGTCACCACATTTATGGATGCAAAAGAAATCCTTCAGGTGTTGTGCTTATTCACTGAACATCAACTTACTATTCATTCTCTCTATATACATGTACCTGTATATTGACAATAACGGCATTAGCTCATAAGCACCTTTTTTAAAATAAATTACCAATTTTTTTTCTTTTTTGCTTTTACTTACTTTTTATATGCATAAAACACACACAAACACATACGCACAATAAATAAATAAATTTAAAACAAAATAATTTGCTCATGGTATTTGATTCTATGGAAATTGTCAACTAAATGTGTAATCAATTATCACTTTAAGTTTTTCAATGAAACACACTACAACAGCTGAATGGCTCGATTCTGAAATCATGATTTCAAAGTACACGTATAATTAATGATCTGTCCGTAATGATGAATGATGTTTATCTACCAACCAGCTTAAAACATTGTCGATTGAAAGTCGATTCCTTCTTCTGGGTGACTTTTTCCTGTGGATTGTTTATTACCCACACCCTTCAGTATATTTGAGGTCTGTCATCCTTCGGAAAATAGTTACTACTCAGAATTTCTGAAAAAGAAATACATTTTTAACATAATATTGTGAACTAACTCTCATCAATTTTGTGGGTATATTCTTTAACGAAAATGAAAAAAAAAAATAATGTTTTTTATCCACCGGTTTGAAATCTGACACGTTAAAGAATGGCGGCTGCATTGATAAAGGCGGTGCACAGGACCGTGATCTAATGTTTTGACCGTGAATTTCCACCTAGAAAAATGTATGTCATGTTTGTTTGGTACACATGGAAATGTTTTTTGGTCCTTAGTATATTGGAATTACCGAAATAGTTTCTTTCAGTATTTGAAAAGGGGAAAATTGATAAAAATGAAATAAAAAAATCAAATTTCCAATCATTAAAAGTTTGTATTTTTTATTTCATGTATGTCAATATTAAAAAGACTGTGACGAGGGGTATATAGGTCAGTATTGTGAACAATCCGTCGGTATCCAAACTATGGAAAAGGGTTCCAGAAGGAATGTCATTGCAAAAAGCAGCACTGTTACCCAAAACAAGGATGTGTTGGTAACATTTTTATTCATTCAATTTAAATTTATTTAAATATATATATTTATTGATCACGCATGATAAATATATTTACATTATTAGTATAGAGCAGCTTTGTAGCATACTATTCTTATATTGCACGTTTATTTTCTTGTTCCAAGTATCACTCTGTGTTTCATCACTACCAAACATTGATGCATCTTTATGTGTTACAATTATTATGTTTAGTTTTCTTTAGTTTTATTGGTTTGTTTGTTTGAATTTGTATGACTGTCTTCGTAGCTATCAAAAGAAACTTCAAAGAAAATTAAATTTAAGGTCATAATGTTATAATTTCAAAATAATCCGATTTTTGCATTCTTTCTGAGTATTTCTAAATCGCAAAATAGCGCACAAAATTGTCATCAATTTAATATCTCATAGATTACTTTTAAACCGCTGGAAAGGAAAATTCAAGAATTAAAAAAAAATGAATGTATTCAAACGAAGTCGTGGAAAAAAAGTAAAGATATTCAAATTATCCTTAATGCCACACTTAAAAAAAAAAGTTTGTGATGAATACTTCGGTAATGATATGCGTATTAGATTTCAAGGATCAGTTTTGCAACGAAGGAATTGATCCAATTTCCACTCTAATCCTCGTCTAAATGTGTACCAAAAATATGTATTAATTTTGTCTGAAACACTTTTTTTTCTTTAGGTTCAGATGAAAGAACAACAAATAATTTTACCTTCAATGATGTTCATGTTACCAATGGAGTCTCTTCTTCATATTCATCCCTGAGCACAAAAATGATAGGTAAATCGCTGAATTTAAATCCTGTAATAGTAAACATAGGATATGCAAATATAAGTTTTATTTCTAAGTGTCCTGGACATACAGATTATGGGAAATAAAAAAACTGTTTCATCACATTATTTCTTTTTTTTTCACATTTATCAAATATTAATAATGTGAATTATAAACGCAGTCTTTGAAGTGCTGCATGTCTGGATGTAGATGCAATGTCTTGAAAGAAACGTTGTGTTTAAAACCAGTGTTTGGAAGTTTTACGACTCGATATTTAATCGATAATATGATTTTAGCTCTTGTGCTTATTGCAACAGCGGTAAATATAGTATTGTAGTATGTATATGCAAAAATAATGGCTTGTATTGGCAAGTTCATTTAACTAGTCCCAAGGAACTATTTAAATTAAACATTCGATACCAAACGCAAAGAGACGCCAGTGCTGGAAAGAGGGACATTGAAACATCTTATTGTACGTAATAGTATACGATTTTTATATCATTCCTATATTTCATCTCTGTATTTCATTTCAATGAGGTGACAATTATCTTTTGACTATTCAATTCGTATGATAGCTATTTCGACACCCTCTTAGCAAAACATATTGTCATTTCTTTAAACCCTTAGACAAACGATCGTTATTTTAAAGCTGACAAAAGGATTTTTGTCTTTCTACCTAGTGAAAATCATAATTATGCTTACAAATATATATTTGTTAGTGTCACTTCAGAATTAACTCCCTAATCATGTTTTGTTTTCACTGTATGAGAGATAAATCTGCTCTGAGATTTAATGGGACTTACAAAAAATCATTGGTGCAGATTTCGAATTAAAGAAAATAAAATTTGGACGCTGTAATATCTTTAATTTGTGCTTATTTCTTCAGAAATATGTCAACTTTTTTTTAAAGTTAGCAATGTAATTCTCCAGTTGTGATGTTGAAATCTTCAGCCGTTGAATTGATTACAACAAAGAAGTAATTGCATTAAAAATCAATATCTTGTAAACAAGTCATTAAATTAATAAGGGTAAAATTGGGTTGTTCTGTTTATTTAAATTATCATATGTATATTTTATCATTTGATGTGATATAAATGTCTATATTTCTTTTCTTAATAGGAAACATGACCATCAATGACATTGATAGCTCTAGTAAAGAAAGGTGAGCTCCTAAGGAGAGATCAACCTGGAAACCTTTAGTTTATGGCATTATTTGCCTTATGATAATTTCTGGTTTTCTCTTTCTGATTTATTTATTCCTTCGGTTTAGTGCAAGATATATCAAACCCCAAACTTTTCATAACAACTAATATTTTCTCTATCAGGTCTATTCATTTTTTTTTCTTTCAAAAATTGTCTTTAGTGCACAGTTAAGCTTGTATGAGCTAACATTCACACAAAGCATTATAACTATACAAACAAATACATGTACACACACATACACACACACAGAGAGAGAGAGAGAGAGAGAGAGAGAGAGAGAGAGAGAGAGGTATTTTATTACCTATAGGTGAAACAATTACTTTAATTTTTCTATGGATCATTATGATGGCGTATTTACATCTGCTGAATATAAATTACTTTTGTATTACTTGTGCACTAACGCAGAAAATACAACAGCAACTGTCAATGGTCTAATATGGATGGGGAAAGAATCGGAACGAAATTAAACTTCGAGGAAGTTTTTTGGCATCGCCAAATTTCAGTTTTGGTACCATTTTTTGTTTATATATCGACTTTCTCTGGCAATGCTCCTAGTATTGCTGTAGCAGGTTCAAGAAACCTAGGCAATTAAAGGAGAAAATCTTTTTAGCCGCTCAATATATTTAGGGTATTTCATATTATATTGCAAAAATCTTTTGATTTTTGAAATGGAAATGACTTGTTATTAATATATTTATTTATTTATTTTTTTTTTTGCCAGCACTTACAAACTAAACACATGTCATAAGGTCTATCTTATTTGATTATATTATCCATCACAATCTATATTGTGGGATTTCATATTTGCTTTATCCCACGAGTTGAAATGGTGTATATTGACGGGGCTTGCCGAGAGAATATACACCATTTCAACAAGTTGGATAAAGCAAATATCAAGTCGAATAATTATAGGTGTTCTATTTATCTCACACGATTTCCGTCTTTAACAGTTAAGTAAATTGATGACGTCGCATTGTTGACGTTGTCATGCCAAAAGAAAAAAATGAAATCTTGGAATAATATATGCTGTGACTTTAACAACACATGTGGCAATCTATTTGAGATTCATTTTAATACAAACTTTTGACTGGAAGTTATATAATATTGTAAGGACGCGAGAAATCATCAATCCTACTCTGAAACCATTCTGTGTACGGCGACTGTGCTAGGTTACCTCTAGATCCATGGCAAGTTATGCTCTATAATGTAAGAAAGAATTTTTTTTTGGTTAAATGAATCTTGCACCGCCAATTTCATTGCTAGGCCAAACGTTTCCTATGATGAGAAGAATTGGGTGGGGGAAGGGATACGTGTAACATCCAAAATCGCATTTATTAGGGGAAAAGACATTTCATTGAGGTAAAACGAGTCTTTTCTTGTTTTTAGCAAATATTTTTGCTCATTAGCATTCATTTGATAATGCAAGAACTTGCACAAATAAAAGTTTCGATAAATTGAAATCTGGAAGCTAGGGAATGTGTCAAAACCGGAAGTACTATTACTTAAGCATACCAGTGGATAAAGCATAGGTTTATCTTCTTTATAGTATCCACCACATGTATGGTATAAATTATGATATACTGTACATACGTAATGAGATGTGTCAAAATAGTTTTAAAATCGTTAATAGAAGCCAAAACCTCAGCTATTCTGTACATTACTTTAAAGAGCTCTTAAGTTGAACAGAATTTTGTATAAGTGCTAGTCGTTAAGAAACAAAATACGATTCTGGTTAAAAATTTTACTCGTGTTGTCGAGAAAAACGTGCCATTTTATTACATGTATGTTGTTAATTGTATTTATATAATTATATCCTGAAGTATTTGAATTTTTTTGTTATGTTGAAGGATAGCAGGGAGATATTTCGAACAGATGCTCCACAGATTTTATTATGAGAAATGTGATGTTAAGATATAGGTCTTTTAAATATGATGCTTTATTTGAAAAGTGCATTTCTTTTCTAAAATACGGGTTTTAAAGACTGAAAAAATGTTTCTTGTTTATACAACTTCTATTTACAGACTCTTGTGTATATGTATATTATTGTTGCGTTCAAAATATTAAAATATCATCGGGCTTTATCAGAAGACAGTACAGAAAATTATTTATGACATACAAGATTTTCTGTATTTATCACCAGGAAGAAGTGTATTATGTTTATATGTTTTAGTATCTATTTAAGACATTTCCTCATCTTATATAATAAATTCTTCTAAACATATATGTATATTTTTGGAAAGTCAATTTCCATTTAAGGGAACAAATCAGGGAACTTACAGAGCAGACCTCAAAGCAGAAATTTCATATTATCAGTTGTACTTATGGCATGGCTTTTCTCTAATAATTGGCTTTGCATCTAATGGTATCAAAATTATGAACGTTGTTTTGCTGATAATGCATGAAAATGGGGAGTAATTTTTTTCATTAACGAGACCCAATCTACTTAATCTGCGCATGGGTTTTCACGAAGGCTTGTTTTAGACGCGTCACAGTACCCTTGGTTGCCGTGACAATTGAAAGAATTACAATGACTTCAAATTGCTCTAAAAATGCTATTTTTGCAAAAGCAGAAGGTTTGGACTGCGCTTGTTCAGAGCTAACTCGTTCTGGCATTTCTAACATTTTTATGCTTTAATGAATGAGTTTTATTTAATAAACTTTGTAACATAATTTTCACCCCGCCCACTTTTTTTCCAAGTACAGCAATGTTGTGTATGAAATACAGAATGGAGATAGAATTCTTTCATAATGTACGAAGAATTTAATTTTGCGAATCATATACCGCACAAGAATCATTTCTTGATATTATGTAAACCTACTGCGACTAATGAAGTATCTTAGATAAAAGAACAAGGTTAACTTAGGTGCTTTTTTTGGCTCTGAGAATTCTTGAAAAAAAATCAAAACTGCTTACTTTTAGTTGAACAAAACAAGATTCTTTGACCCTTAGTGACTGCATATCGATTTAAAATGACGTAATGTTTTGGTAGTTTAGTATAATGACGTAATAATTTCTGTCATTATCCTCAAATTCTGAAAATTTCTTCAAAATGGCTTAAATTTTAAGCTGTATTTCAATATTTTGCATAAAGCCAGAATTTCAATTTAAATGTAAGAACTGTTTTTAAAGAAAAATTATTTTCAATGTTTTTGATAAGAATTTTACAGATAACCTGTTTTCGCACAGATCACCATCGTCTAAGCAGAATAGTCTATCATTCAAATACCGCTTGTACTATATATACAAACATGTATGGCTCGCTTTTGACATATGTCCTACTTCCTCGGCCATTTTCAGATTTTTTTTTTTTTTATAGTTTTCCAGAGTACAACACAAAAATGTATGGTTAACTGATGCTTCATGACGTCATCTTTTTTGCCTTTTTCAAAGAAGACTACCTATTTTCTGAAACTGATTTCTTTTCAACGAGCAAAACATAATATCATAATTTGGAATCAAAAACGATGAAACCATTCTTAATTTGAACGTGTAGAATGTTCCCTTTTTGTCTCATTTTACAGCAGATATGACTATAAATTCAGACATTATTTAGTGTCAGATATTATTTAGTGTATTGATTGTAAATTACAATATTTTGACCTGATCCGTTTTCCTTTTTTCGCCTTTTTAAAGTCTAAATGGGTTTGAAATAAACCACGGCATTTAAAAAAATAATAGACATCATTTGAATTTAATGTTGAAATATTTCTTTCAAATTTGGATATAATAGAAATGTGTTTGGTTTATTGTGATCAATTCAATTACAAAACAATTTGCCAAATTAAAGTTCGTTACACATGGTCATATTCTAATCTGTTTTATCACGTTTATTTAAGTCCATGTTATTTTGTTGTCACTGATGATTTCGCCATTAAAAACTTAAATGTTTTTGATATAATTATAATGAATATTCATCATTACTACTTAAACAAATATATTTCAAGTTAAGAATGATCAAATACAATGTCCGTTCCAAATTCTCCAGGTTTGCAAATACTTGGAATGTGCATATTTATTTCTTTTATATTTATCGATGGAATGATTATAATCTTGCTCAATTTTGTGTGAGAATACGTCAAAACACAAAATCATTTGTAATTTGCCTCAATCTGTACTTGATGTCTAGCAATGTATTCTTAACATACAAATTTACAAAATAACAAACTTTGTACTTTTGGAGTGTTTTATTGAGTTATTTGTGCAAAAGAGCGTTCACCAATTTTGCAAATAGCCATGCTTTCAGGAACGCAAAGCTTAATACGGTCAAAACTTGTTATCTTGATTTCGATTAGGGGCCGAGAAAAAAACTTCGAGATATCCAAGGATTAGATATATCTAGGGTATAATGCTTAAATAGTGCGGACTTCCAAGTTACTACGACATATCACATCCGTGTACATTGCGACCAGTAATCCCAAACTCCGTTACAATGGCTTTCTACAACATGCCTTTTTCCCCAGGCAATCTTTGTAAATTTTTCCTTTAAAAAATAACATTTCCTAAGATATAAAATGAAATTGTGTCTAAAGGAATCTATCAACAATAGAAAAAATAACTTTTATATAACGTATTTTATATTTAATAATGTCGCGCTTACGTTATTTCCAACGCGAAGTACATTTTTTGCAAATGTAGACAAATATGTCATGTTTAACATTTTAAATCGGAGATTACAATTTATTTGATCTATTTCACTTAAATCAAGTTTTGATTGAATATTTTCCAATGACATTTTATCAATATTAAATGATTGATTTCAGTTTCATTGAAATTGCCAGTATCTTAGATCCACTAACAATGCCCGCTACCGAACTTTTGTTTTGCTATTTCACGACTGTTTAACGAAAGCAAAGTAGACTTTTAATATCACTATACGAATAAAATCTGAATATAGTTTAAGAACATCACTTATATCTAGTATATTATTAGAGGAGTAAGCATGAGTTCTATTGCAGGCG